AGGAGGAAATAGATGATTTTTACCAACTTTCGGAGTAAAAAAATCAATCGAGCATGCAATCAAGATGTATTAACAACAATGGGTAACTGGAATGCAAAAGTTGAGAATCAGGAAGAAAGATCAGTCAGTAGTCAGAAAACATGGACTTTGTGACAGAAATGAGGCTGGGGCTAGAATGATAGAATTCTGCACAATCATTGATTTCTTCATAGCAAATATCTTTTATAAGAAATATAAATGCAGGCTATACACATGGATTTCACCAGACAGTATACACAGGAATCAGACTGATTCCTTCCACATTTGTGGAAGGAATCACTGGAGAAGTTCAGTATCAGCAGTGAAAACTAGGCCAGGTGCTGACTGTGAAACAGACCATCAACTACCCATACGCAACCTGGAACAGACCATCAACTACTGATACGTAAGTTCAAATTAAAGCTAAAGAAAGTCAAATAAAATACCACAGGAATCAAAATCCAAAAGAGTCTGTTCCACCTGAATTTAAAAACCAACTAAGGAAATGGTCTGAGGCTTTAAACACTAATGAACAAATACCAGAAGAGCTGTGGGAAGATAGCAAGAATATTATCCACAAAGAATGCAAAAGGTCATTACAAAGAAGGAAGATGACCAAAATGGATGTCAGAAAAGACTCTGAATATTGCACTAAAGCAAAGGAAAGAAATCAACAAGGTAAGGAGTTGAATAGAGGATTTCAAAGGGCAGCAAGAAAGACAAAGTAAAGTATTATAATGAAATGTGCAAAAAGCTGGAAACTCAAAAGGGCTGTTAATTGCTCAGCATTTCTTAAGCTGAAGGAAATAAAGAACAAATTCAAGCCATGAGCTGCAATACTTAAGGATGCTATGGGTAGACTATTGAATGATCCAGGAAGTATTAAAATAAGATGGGAAGAGTATGCAGTCACTGTAGCAAGAAGAATTAGCTGACACAGAATTTCAAGAAATACTATATGATCAAGAGGCAAAGATGATGAAAGAGGAAGTTAAGGCTGTACTTGACAAAAAAAATAAAGCCCCAGAAATTGATGGAATACCAACTGAAATATTTCAATAAAAAGATGCTGCCCTGAGTATGTTCACCAGGTTGTGCCAAGAAATCTGGAGTACAACTACCTGGACAACTGACTCAAATAAATCTGTATCTATTCCTGTCCCTAAAAATGTGACCCCGGTATAGTGTGGAAATTATTGTACAGTATCACTAATATTACACACAAGCAAAATCCTGTTGAGGATTATCCAGAAATGACTGAACAGTACATAGAGAAATACAAGGTGGGTTGAAAAGAGGCTGTGGCACTAGGCATTATCCCAATGTCCAATGAATGTTGGCAGAAAACAAAGAGTACCAGAGGGATACCTATCTATGTTTCATTGACTATGCAAAGGCATTTGACTGTGTGGATCACGAAAAATTGAGGTTAACCTTGAAGAGAATGGGAACTCCAGAACACTTGATTGTGCCTTATGCGAAACCTATACTTGGACCAGGAAGCAGTCCTCACAACAGAGCAGGGAAGAAACATTGCATGACTCAAAATCAGGAAGAAAGTGCATCAGGGATGCATCCTGTCTCCATGCCTTTTCAATCTATATGCAGAACAGATCACTCTGGAGACTGGGCTCTATGCGGAGGAATGTGACATCGGGATTGGAGGGAGCCTCATCAAAAACATATATTATGCAGATGACACAACCTTGCTTGCTGAAACGGAGGAGGATCTGAAGCGCTTGCTGCAGAAGCTCAAGGACTGTAGTCTTCAATATGGATTGAAGCTCAACAGCAAGAAAGCAAAGATTCTCTCACCACTTGGAGAGGGTGAAACCAAGTTTCTCCTTGGACACTGGTATTCTGACGCTCCATTACACATACCTTGGGCACATGGTCTGGAGGGACTGATCCTTGGAGAAGGACATCATGCTCAGATGGGTGGAGGCCCAGTGCAGGAGAGGAAGACTCTGGATAAGATAGTGTAATACAGTGACTAGGGCAACTGGAGTGAGTTAGCATCAGTGAGATTAGCTCAGGATGGCACAGGCTTCAGGGTGTTGTACATAAGGTCAGTATGGGTCACAGGCTACTCGACAGCACATAACACCATCATGAAAGTTTGGGTCAACATAAGAAAAACAATTAATGTAATTCATCACATTAACAAAGCAAGTAACAAGAACCCTTTGATCCTAGCAATTAATAGAGAAAAAGCATCTGACAAAATACAACACCCCTTCCTGATTAAGAAACTCAGCAAAGACCCTGACAAGCACCTGTGACAGGTTCCTGCTGTCCCCACCCCCACAGGAGCCACCCACCACATGTGCCTGGTCCCAGAAGCCTGTGGCTGCCCCGTGCTATGCTTCCTGCCCCACAGCCCTGTGCACACGGGGGCCCTGCTGCTTCACGAGGACGCCTTCCTTCCAAGATTCCCTGTCCCCCAGCCTCTCAACTCTCCAACCCACCCTGATAATTTCCAGCTTCCAGAGACCAGGCCAGGGATTCCTGGGAGCCTTGCCTCCCTCCTTGAGCCTCCTCCTGATGCAGACAGGCTGGCCCAGAGTAGTCCTAGACATTGGGGCGAACCCAGTGTGCCAGCTGGGGGCCTGCCCCCAGTTCCCCTTGAGCTGAGCAATGCAAAGACCATCGTGCACAGGCTGCAGACTGCCTTCCAAGACGCACTTGACCTTTACCTTGTGGTGGCCTCCAGTGGCCAGGTCAGCGCTGAGCAGCAGGAGGCACAGGCTGCGCTGGCTTCCACCTTCCTTTGGATCCACCGCAAGTTGGAGGCGATCTGGCTGGACAGGACAGAGATGGCCCCAAAACAGGCCCTGCCCAGTCCTGGTCCCCCATCTCCACCTACCCTCTGTTCACCGGCCAAGCCTGATTTGTGGGCTCTGCTGGAACACTACTCAGAACTGCTGGTTCAGGCCATGCAGAAAAAGACAGGGGGATACTGAGAGCCGCAGTCTCTTCCACTGCAGTTCTGCTACTTCTAAAGAGATAGTAAATTTTAAAAAATAAAAAAATAAAAAAAAAACCTCAGCAAAATAGGAACAGAAGAGAATTTACTGAAAAGTGAAAAACATATATGCAAAATAAAGAGCCAGTATCATTCTCAATGGAGAAAGACTGAAATAATTTCCCTTGCAAACAGGGCTCAGGCAAGGATGCTCGCTATCACCACTTCCATTTAATATTGTATTCTAAGTACTTACTAGGGCAATATGACAAGAGAAGGAAATAAAAGACATCTGGATCGGCAAGAGATGGTTAAAGGGTTGCTATATAGAAATGATATGATAGTGTACACTAAAACCCCAAGAACGCAACAACCAAAAAAAACTGCTAGTGGACAAACTTGGTAGGGTGGTAGGATACAAGATCAATACATAAAAATTAGTGGGATTCCTCTACAGTAACAAAAAGAACTCTGAGAAGAAAACTAAGAAACAATACCATTTACAACAGTCAACCACAAATTGAGATACTTGGGAAGGAACTTAACTGAACTTAACTAGAGGTACAAAAAGATATATATACAAAGAAAACTACAGAACATTTCTATGAGACACAATTAAATGACCTTAATAAATGGGAAAATGTTCCCTGTTCATGGACAGGAAGACTCAATATAGCGAAAATAATAATCCTACTAAAAGCAATCTGCATGTTCAACTCAATCCCAAAACAAGTTATCAAATTCATTTTTCAAGGAAATCAAAAGGGAAGCTGTCAATTTTATTTGAAGATGACAGCTCAAAGAAGAAAAGCATTTCTGAAAAACAAAAACAAAAATGAAGTGGGAGACATAGCACTCCGTGATCTCAAAACCTCCTTAACAGCACTAGTAACCAAAACAGCATGGTGTTTGTACAGTGACAAGCACATAGACCAATGGAACAGAATCAAGAACCCAGATATTAATCTATCTATCTATGGTCAACTGATATTTGACAAGGAAATAAAACCTATCAAATGGGGAAATGACAGGTGCTGGCAAAACTGGACTGCTACCTACAGAAAGCTCAATCAGCATTCACATCTCACAGCATACAGAACTCAAGGTGGATCAGAGACCTGGGAGTAAAACCCCAAACCATAAAGTTCATAAAGAGACAAACTGGGACCAAATTTAGAAGGCCTAGTCCATAGTGTAAAGAGGCAGACAAAGACAGTAAAAAATACACAATCTAGAGAGGATAAATATAATAAGTAGGATTCTCTAAAGATTAAATCTGAACTTTGAATTTTGGAGTTGGTGAGAGGAGCTCGCAGACACAGTGGAGAGAGGGAGTGGATTTGGACTGGGACACACCTCTGGACCTTTGACCTACGCCCCCCAGGTACACACCCCACCCCTAAGTTTGCACACTGCACTCCCACCCCCCACTCTCCAGCTTTGAATTTTGGAGTGTTTTTTTTTAAAAAAAAAAAAACCACACAGATCAAATTATAGCATTTATCAATCTCCCCTGAAAGAGTTGTCTAGCATTGAAGATTTAGATTCTTTGGACTACAAACTGCTGTCTGGACTTACCACGTGGGTCCTGCTAACTCAAGCAACAGGGAGGTCCTGAACATCTTGATAGAGGAGCAGTGACATCAAACCAAGAACCAACTATCACCTTAGTTTTCAAAAACTCTTCCATGTCAATGTCTCGAAAGAAGCAGCGTACCTCACTCACCACTCAAGCGCAAAACAAGATATCTAAAAAAAAAATAAATAAAATGGCACAGTAGCAATGGATTTCATGATGGAACTTTCTGATGCAGAATTTTTTTAAAAAGCGATTTAATATTTTCAATGGATGAAAAACAAACTTGAAGAATTACATGACACCACAGTAAAAACTCAGGAGGAGCTTAAAAAAACAAACCAAAACAATGCAAAGAAAACAAACGAGGCATTAGTGGCACTGGAAAAACAAGAAACCATGATCCAAAATATGAAATTTAAGGTTTCTGATGCTGTGAACATGACGGAGGAACGTATGTATAGAGAAGAAGATATGGAAAACGGAATCCACGAAATAGAAAATAGAATTGCCACCACAGATCTGACTGAGAAAAAAGCAGAATCAAAAAAGAAGGAGACAGAAGTAAACTTAAGAATAATGTGGGATACCATTAAAAGAAATAACATCCGTATAACTGGAATCCCAGAACAGGAAGAAGCAAGTAAAGGCACTGAAAAAGTCGTGGAAGAATTACTACAGGAAAACATTCCAGGCATAATGAAGAATGACAGAATATATATCCAAGAAGCTGAGCGAACGCCATATAGAATAGACCCTAAAAGAAAAACACCAAGGCATACCATTGTCAAATTTGCTAGAACCAAAGATAAGGAGAGGATACTGAAAGCAATGAGAGAGAAACAAAGAGTAACCGGTAAGGGAGAACAGATAAGATTAAGTGCTGATTTTTCAGAGGAAACCATGAGAGGAAACCATGCGAGCAAGAAGACAATGGAACGGCATATATTGAACACTCAAAGAACACAACTTTCAAGCAAGAATACTGTATCCAGCAAGACTGTCCATCAAGTACAAAGGAGAGATCAAAATATTCCCAGAAATACAGAAACTAAGGGAGTTCATAAAAACAAGACCAGCCTTATAGGAAACACTGAGAGATGTCCTTCATACAGAGATGCCACAGAAAACAGGATGGAGCAAAGTAACTAGCAACAACACTAAAAAGAATTGAACAAAATGATAGCAATAAAACCCCACCTCTCGATAATTACACTGAACATGAATGGTTTAAATGCACCACTGAAGAGAAAGAGAGTAGCACATTGGATAAAAAACCAAAATCCATCAATAGGTTGTCTACAAGAGACACATCTGAAAAATGAAGATAAAGACTGAAAATAAAAGGATGGGGAAAAATATATCAAGCAAATGGCAACCCAAAAAAAAGCACGAGTAGTGATACTAATCTCTGATAAAATAAATTGCAATACAAAAACCATCACAAAGGACAAAGAAGGTCACTACATAATGCTCAAAGGGTCAATAGAACAAGAGGATATAACAATATTGAATATCTATGCACCAAATCAAAGACCTCCAAAATACCTAAAATGCACACTAACAAAACTGAAAAAGGAGATAGACAACACTACTATAGTACTTGGAGAATTCAATACAACCCTTTTCTTTTTCTTTTTTTTTTTTTATCTTTAGTGGATCCCTACTTCACTTTTTTTTAAATTTTAATAATTTTAATGAACATTTACAGAGATTTTGGATTTCCATTCATTCACTGTTGCACTTTTCTCCCTGCCCAGCCCTCCTCCTGCCCCCTCCCCACCGCCCACCCCCATTCGCTCCTCTCTTTGAAAGTAAAATTCTTTTTTTGGTATAAAATCCCCCCACAACCCTCCCACTGCCCCAAGTACACTCCACTATGCAACCATAATTGTGGACTCTTGTGATAACCATAATACCCTATCATATATCACTTTTAAATTATTCTCTCCTTCATCTGTTTCAATGCAGTATACACAACTTATCCACTTTTTCTTCAGTCTTATGCCAATCATGGTACCAATCCCATTTTACTGCAGTGGCACCATGCAATATTTGTCCTTTTGCGACTGAGATATTTCACTCAGCAAAATGTCCTCCAG